CGTATGTGTTTCAAAATGTCTTTTAAATTACTAACAACAAATATGAAAGACTAAGTGCAACGTTGTAACAAATTTCATTACCGTCCAAGTTAAGAATGATGTGACTCATCGAAAACTGCGCGAACGAACATAAACAGTGGCGTAATCGTCCGTTATCGACCGACTCCAGACCAATTTTGAATTTGTAAACTGTCATTGCAATGGACAGTTGACATTGTGTTCTGGAGGAAACAATTTGTATCACTCTAGCTACGGATATAATTTGTAATCTGGAATTTTTTGCATACCTTTTTAATAAGTATTTAATTGCGGCTCGCGAAAAATTTCAAATTTTGAAAAGTGGTTCGGACTATCAAGGAGCTTGGCCACCCCGGGTATAGACTATACTGTTCACACATTTATATTTAGAATATTTATTGCGTTATTCAGAAGTGACCATACCTTTTTAATAAGTATTTAATTGCGGCTCGCGAAAAATTTCAAATTTTGAAAAATGGCTCGGACTATCAAGGAGCTTGGCCACCCCGGGTATAGACTATACTGTTCACACATTTATATTTAGAATATTTATTGCGTTATTCAGAAGTGACCACGATCACCACACGAGGAATATTTAAATATTGAGTTTAATTATTAGACTATATCGATGGAACAAGGCAACGCGACACATGGGCAATCTGCCAATGGGAGATGCTTTCGGGGAGAAAACTCTATTTGCGTATAAATACGTGACGAACTCCTGGGAAACTCCACATGGCCAGACCGTTGTTCCAGCACAAACTCGTGACCAACTACCAATATTCATTAATTCTATCTACTTGGGTACTAGTGGGCCGATTTAAATGATTAAATTCAGTATTTAATTATTATTATTAAAATACATTTTATTTTAATGTGTTTCAATAATTAAGGTTAAGAGTTTACGAATAAAATCTTGTTTTCTATTTATTTAATAATTACTTTTTTTATACATAAAATAATGAATCAGAAATTGCAAAAACATTATGTCATACATTAATGCTTGTACAGTTACGTTGAAATTTCATTAATAAAAATTGAAATTACAATATTTATTTTTGATTTTGTTAAATATTATTATGTTTTTTGTTAAGTTCCATCAAGTCGTCGTCGACTCCTGGTGACTGCGTGGACAAGTCTATCCTTTGTCCATGTAGTTTTCTTGGCAAGAGTTGAGGAAGTGGTTTGCCATTGCCTTCTTCCTTGAATGATGTGTCACGAGCGCGCGGAGAAAGAATGCATTCCGGGAGGACTTTCATGGGGAACTGGCCTCCTATTTAGTCGTTATTGGCAAGGAGAAAACCCGGAAAACTCCAAGCAGCCAGCCTGTCCGATCGCGGCACGAGCCCACGACCGAACTTCCCAGTGTTTAGGGTCCAGTTACTACCGCTATGAGCGGCAACGGAGACCACTCGGCCACTAGTGGGCATTATTATGTTTTAACACAATAATATTCTTTGTGCAAAATGTTTACCTGAAATGCACTTGTCGCGATGTTGTATAGTCAATAATATGCAACATCATAAATAGACTTATCAATTGTTCATATCTATGTGGACACAATGTCTAAAAGATTACAATTGTTTAACCTCTAAATGCTTACTTTTACTTTCACGGATATGATATATAATAGACGGAAAGTATGGTGATCGGAAAAACACGATCTCTCAAGATTTTTACAATTTTGGACTCGGGACATCGACAAATTAAAAAAAAAAAAAACTTGTATTTTTTCTATATATATGAATGTTAGTGTATGTGTTAGAAGGGCAGGTTTTTTCCGTCTAATTTTTTTATTATAAGAATAAATGAATAGAAGCCAATACACGTAGGAATAAGAAGTCTCAAGCAGTTATTTATTGTGACAACATTGTTCTCAATTCTAATAGTGTCTTGTACCTGTTTTCTGTTAACAATAGAATTAAATTGGATGTTGGTTATCTATATAAATAGATTACCGGCATTCAGAGGAAAATATTTCAATTGAAATATTTTCCTCTGAATATAATAACCCGCATATAATAATATATAATAACCGGATATAATAACCTGCAAACCGGATGGTTTGCGGGTTATTATATCCGGTTCGTATATAGTTAACAGGGGTCTTTTTCCCAAAGCTTTTCATACGTGGTTTCGACTTTCATGTATCTAATTCTAGAAATTAAGGAAGAATACACACAGATTGACGGACGCCAGAGAGAATTTCTATGTATACTTAAATCACGGTTATGGATTTTGAATCTACTTTATTTAGCTTTACAGCAACAAATAACTTGTTAATATAAAGTTACTACATAATTTATTTCTAAGGTAGAGATTTGTTGCATAAAATGAATACTTATAGAACGATAACGGTAGTGTGAAATTCATTTGTACACAATGTATGATGTAAAGTGTTAGACTGTATTTGTTTACCATATTCAGTAGTAAAGAAACGACTATCTTTTATGTAATTACCGCAGTGATTAAAACTTATTTACGTTCAACCATGTGTCAAGATAGACTCAGATCTAGCAATTTTATCTATCGAAAATAGTATTTATCAGGAATTAAATTATTCTGAATTTGCAAGCGCAAAAGCAAGGAAAATAGCAATGTAGGCTTTTTATTTTATTTCTTAATTTGTTTCAATTTTAAATTAATTTATGATGTCAATTTGTCTTTTGCGTGATGTGAGCGTTGTCTGTGCCATAGCAGTTTAAGTAAATATTGTTATGAATATTGCCTTATGAAAGAAATTAAATAAATATTGCCTTGTGAAAGAAATATTGTTTTT